AGCTGCCCTTTCAAGGACAGCTCTTGTCAGAACTACGGCTTGCCCAAGGCCATCCAGCCAGGTGCAAGTGGAGGAGTGGGGGAATCAAACCCGGTTCTCCCAGATCAGAGTCCGCACACGTAACCACTGCACCAAGCGGGCTCCAAGAGTGTTAATGTTTGAAGCACGTTTTGAATAAAAAATAAAATTGTTTATTGGGTTCGCCTGTCTCCTTTATAAGGTTTATATCTCACATACCTATGGCACACAAGGGCCAGCCCGACAAAGTGACATTTCCGTCAAATCCAGCAGGGCTCTTCTAATAAATGAGTCCCAACACCTCTGTATTAGAAGGAAATGAAAGCTAATAGACAAGATGAAGTTTGTCTTGGCCCGATCTCGTCAGATCGTGGAAGCTAAGCAGGGCCGACCCTGGCAAGCCAGTTTGGTTAGTGGTTAGGAGGGCGGACTCTAATCTGGGAGAGCCGGGCTTGATTCCCCACGCCTCCACATGCAGCTGCTGGAGTGGCCTTGGGTCAGTCTCAAGTTCTCTCAGAGCTGCTCTCTCAGGAGCAGTCCTCGAAAGAGCTCTCTCAGCCCCACCTGCCTCCCAGGGTGTCTGTTGTGGGGAGGGAGAAAGGAAAGGAGATTGTAAGCCTCCCTGAGACTCGGAATGAAGGGCGGGGTATAAATCCAATCTCCTCCTCTTCTCCTCTACTTGGAAGGGGGACCTCCAAGGAAAACGGGGGTGGGACGCAGAGGCAGGCAAGAGTAAGCCACCTCTCTGAAACATCCTAGCCCCGCTAGGGGTCACCAGAAGTCACCATGACTTCCAGGCTCGCAAGGGCCACACAGAAAATACCCACAAAAATAGTTTAAAAAACAGACAAGATAAAGATCTAGGATCAGAAAAGACTAAAAGTCAGGAAATGTTGATGAATAGGTAAGACGCAGCCTATTCATACATACATATACATAGACCTTTATTGGCATAACACAGGAACAATAAGGAAGGCAATGGAACAAATAAATTAAGAGAACGAATTAATAGATCATAACAAGTTACATCAAGTTACACCAACAGGGGATCATTTTTAAACTTCTCAAGGATAGTGAACTCAGTTAAAAAATATAACAATCCAAATGAGCACAAGGGGGATTAAGATTTATGCGCCCTTACCCTTAGCTTCCAAACATAAGCTAAGAATTCATCAACAGACAGGGTCATTGCCGAGAACTGATCAGACAATAGAATTTTAAGATCATGGTCAGTCGAATTCCTTGTGGAAGGTAAGTGGGGACTGATCAGATAGCTGCGCGTGGTAGAGTATTGGGGACAGCGTAGAGGGATACGAGCGACTGAATCAGGTTCACTATAGAGACAATTGCAGGTTCTATCCCTATAGGGGATACCCCTATATCTGCCTGAAACAACAGCCGAAGGAAAGAGATTAAATCTTGCTAGCATAAAAACCCGCCGATAAAGTGGAATTGTTAGATTAGAGATGTACAAAACCACAGAGGCTTGTGGGGGGGGGGGGGGGAGGTCAAGGCAGGAAAAGAACTGAGGAGACGGGTGACTCCCACCGAGGAGACAGGAAGCGGGAAAGACTTTGTTCCCGCCTCCCTGAGGGGACGGCGGGAGTCACCCACCAAGATGTCCTCCTTTCCTCAGAGAAGAAGGACCCTTCACGGTAAGTATCCAGCGGTCCATTCTCCCAGCCTGACCTACCTCGTAAAGGCTATTGTAAGGATAAGATGGGGAAGGGGGGACCATACACCCTGCCCCAAACTCCTCAGAGGATGAGTGGGATACAAATGCCCGAGGTAGCCTGGGTAACGTGACTGTCTGTTGCTCGTTCAGTGACAGGAAGCAGCTCAAACCGTTAGCAGATGGGGGTCAGTATTGAGCAATGAGCCAGGGAAGGCCAGGAGAACCATGTCCAGTACTCTGTGTCACACAGTGGTCAAACCCGGATGCCCTCAGGCGGTCCACTAGTGGGACCAGAACTCCAGAAGCCCTCCCACTGTGGCCCCCCAAACACCAAGAAGACAG